TCGGATAATGGCTGATAGCTTCAGCGTGCTTGCAGCGTGCTTCTTAACTTATCAAGACTTACCCATAACTTATTCGACGTCACTGCGCAGCGTAGTTCACCTAGTAGGTATAGATAGTAAGTCACAGTAATTTGTTGAGTAGATGACGGTCCGGGCTATACGTCTGAGTGTCTTAGAGTTGTTGCGTCCAATTGTTTGTGAGGAGGTCGGGCCATTATTTGAGGTAATATTTGCGTGCCTGACTCTTATCTGTCGTACGCAATGTGCGAGGGCGGCTTGTGTTGTAGTCGAGGTAGTCATAAGGCATGGATCTACATGCCGAAGCTAAAGAATTTACGTAAAACCCTTTGGTAGAGTATGAAACTGAGGAGGAGTGTAATGAATGCTCAGACGAGGCACGAAGAGGAGAGCAGAGCAGAGAGAGAGGTGTGCGTGCGTGTGTTGCGTGCGTGTGTGTGGCTGTGTGAGATGAGAGAGAGAGAGGGGGGGTGTGCGTGTTTGTTGTTGTGTATTGACGATGAGAGAGAGAGATGAAAGAGAGAGAGAGGAGAGAGAGAAGAGCGGAGAGAGAGAGAGGGCAGAGGCAGGAGCGAGAGAGCGGGTTTTCGTAGTAGTTGAAAGAGCACTGTGCACAGTAGCCGGCCAGCCTGGTATCTGTGAGCAGGACGTTAAACACTCGCGTCGCGCGGAACTAGCGGCGGATAAGGGGGGGCACTGGAGCACGACGAATGCTGACGAAGGGATAAGAGGAGAGAGCGAGCAAGAGAGAGCAGGAGTTATGCCAGAGAAGAGAGAGAGAGGGCGACTAGAGAGAGAGAGAGGAGAGGACTGCAGCATGAGCGATCGAAAATGCGTAGGCAGAGACGAAGGTAATGTAGACACGTTGACGACGCAGTGACGCCCAAGCAGGCTGCAAGGGGCGAAAAGAGAGAGAGATGTAAGAAGGAGAAGAGAGTGGAGGATATGAAGAGAGAGAAAGAAAGACGCGAGAGAGACGAAATGATGGATGAATCATCGGACGGGCTGACACCATCGTAGAGAGCAGTCCTGTACTTACGGATAATACGGCGGTAACGACGGGGGAGAGACTATGAGAAACAGAGAGGAGAGAGAAGAGAGAGAGGAGCAGGAGAGAGGAGCGGAGAGAAAAGAGGTTAACTTTCGTTGTAAACAACCATCACATATTACGCATCGAGATTAAATCCAATTAGATAAGGTACGAGCCATAAAGGATTTTCAGTACTATTATGCACGCGAGTGGGAGTGGGAGTTAGTACTCAGAGCTCTAAGACGATATTTCCAATTACAACAAATCCTCAATGTAAATCCGTGTCAACTTTGTGAACTCGTAGACAATAGAGTAAAAAAATTTCCACGACATCGGCGGCTAGCTGGCTATAATTTGTGCCTGCCCGCATGACGCAGGCTCACGTGGCACACCAGAGCTTACCCGAGACATCAATTGAGGATTGGCTTCGAACACGGTGCAAGATTCCGATGCTCCACGTAATGCGTCCATCGCCGTGACGCAGGATAGTGTCCTTTAAGATCACCTCTGTCACAGCAAGGACACAAGGTGAAACGCCACGCTATATCACCCACGGCTCGTACACAGACACAGCGCGCGACGACTAGTATACTTCAAAAGACGCCATACTCCCAGTACGGTTATATAACGGACGGAGAACCGGACCTTGGATCACAAACCCGGTTATCAGATAGACCCAGGAGTGCCTAGCCCCCACGTAGCCAAGAGACAGCGACCAGCGACAAGCAGGTGCCTCATTTTGTAGTTATGTATGCGAGTGACAAGTGTACCTAAGAAGTACCAGATACCCAACACACACATAGACGGCGGCTGACGAGTAGAGATCGGTTGTGTTCCTGATCTATACGCAGTTACTCATGCATAATTCCATCTCTGGACATATCAACCCATAGATGTAGCTGCCGCACAAGACGTATAAGGGTATCAGAAGTACATGTTCAGCCTGAGAAAGCCGACCAACGAAAATCGCGGAGCAACATGGCTGAATGAATGCTATGATAGCCGAGAAGAACACAGGTAGGCAAGTTAGACGGCGCTAACTACAGCATCGAACATGCCGTCAAAACCATACGGTGGACCTGTTCATTGAGATGTGTAATTAAGTATTCAGTTGAAGCTTAAGGATGAACGTTAACGAACTAGTTTCACATTCTCGAGAGGTGCCGACCATCGCGGCGCGGACACTGCGAATTACCATCTAGGACGGCTCCACGAGTGACGTAAGTTCTGGTTAACCCCTGACGGTACGAGATCGTGAGGATGCTGAGTGTCCAGGCCAGAGAGTGTGCAGACACGCGCTGCGCCTCAGCGGGCGCCTGGTGAGCACGGGAGGAGTACGGTGCTAGTCGAAGCCGGATGACGGGGTTTGCTTTCGAGCCCTGCGGGACAGCGTGTAGCGCGATCCCTGTCGCGAGGCCGAAGGAGGCCGTTGGGGCATGTGCACGAGGCGCAGAGCGGCGTCAGGCGCGAGGAGAACTTCCGATTCGCGTAGCCCGGCCGTCGCGCCTGTATGAGACCTGTCACCGTTCGAGCGAGCAACGTGGACGTTTAGCAGAGTCGAATGTGTAGAGAGCAAGTCACGTAGCGTATGCATGAACGCAAACGCGAGCACGCACGGCTGAGTGTAGGCTAACAGCACATACAACGCGCCACCGAGCGAGAAGAACATCGCGACGGCACAAGCCGCACCCACAGCCACCACCACGACAACCGCACACGGCCGCGCGCTCGCGACAAGCGAGCCGTACAATTCGAGCTGACACTACGGCGATTCGTACGGCGCAACCGAGCACATGTACACACACAGACACGGACGGAGGGGGCGCCGTGCGTCAACGTAACCCTACGAGAGAGCTGTGAGAAGCAGATCACGCACGACCCACGACACAACACGACGCGACACACACAAGGAGCGCCGGAAGAAAATGACATCGAGGAGAAGTGAGAAGGAGAGACAGAGCAGCCCAAACCAACGGCAGACACACACACGCACTGACAACGCACTACGAGCAGCACACACAAACACCACAAACGAAAGACGCTGCGCAAGCAACGCAACACAACATACACACCGGCACACGAGAACGCACGCACAGCGACCGCTATCACACACGCCAGCATTACACACACACGAGACGCACGCAGCGCTGCGTCTCCGACGACGCATGTACACCACGCACACACGCACACACATACACACACACACACCAGTCATCACACCGAGCAGCCTGTGGTGACGTCATCACACACACACAACACATCCAGACACACCCACACACACAGACCACAGCGCCAAAACAACACGCGCGCGCGCCGCCACAACACACAGCACCACACGGTGCCATGGTGACGCCAAGGAGCGGGAGAACGGGACACACACAACACACACACACCGCAATACACATCCGGCAGGCACAGCAACACACAGCCATCAACACACACACACACACACAACACCACACACACCACACACGGCGCCTCAGGTCACGCGCGAGGGGCAGCATAGCGACAGAGAACGGAAACCGTGATGACGAGAAGCCCATGATCACACACATGACACCACGCCGGCAGACAGCACGCACACGACGTACACGAACGCCACCACGCAGCCCGACAGGCGAGGACACGTCCGGACACTGCAGACGTACACCAAGACTATAGAGCTTCAGAGACAGAGATCAAAAATCGAACTATTAATAAGCGAATTATTAATTGACGAATCATCTATTCGCTTCTCAGCGAAGCAATTCTTGACCGTGACGATGGGGCGTACCTTTGTGCTCCTTCGCTTGAACCGTGAGATCGTAGGTGCAGAACTGCGTGTCGACGGACGGCACGTGGTAGTGTAGCTCCACCTGTAGCTGTCCGACGCCTCTACCTGTCGTGTTGATCTGCAGCTCCCCTCCCGTAGGAACCTGCGGCGGTGCGAAGCAGACGTATAAGAACCAATGTCGCGCACATAGAGAGGGGGAGAGAGAGCGAGAGAGGAGGGAAAGATAGTAGAGAGAGAGAGCGAGAGAGAGAGGGGGAAGAGAGTAGAGAGAGAGAGCGGGGGGAGAGAGTAGAGAGAGAGAGAGCGGGGGAAGAGAATAGAGAGAGAAGAGAAAGAGAGTAGAGAGAGAAAGAGAGAGAGAGAGAGAGAGAGAGAGAGAGAGAGAGAGAGAGAGAGAGAGAGAGAGAGAAAGAGAGAGAGAGAGAGAGAGATTAACGCGCGTTCACACTGGTGACGACTTCGCGAATTCACATGCCTACGCCCCCACATTATCATCATTAGTTCCCACCAGCGGGCGCTGCTTACGGTGTGTTGCTGTTGCACGAGAGCGTTGTTCTTGTGTACGGTCACGTGCTTCAGGAACGTCTGGTTCGTCTCTGACGTGATCTCGCATATCAGCTCCAACTCGTCGACCTTTGCGCGTGCGCTGTAGTCAGCCAACGCCTGCAGCGCCACCACCGTGTCCTGCACGCGAGAAACACGACGTTAGTAAGTAATAATAATAGTAATAACAATAATAGTAATAAAAGACAAAAGGCAATCGGGGGTGCTCTACCTATCTGAATCAGTGTACTGACCCGTGTGAACAGGAACCGTAACACAGTGACAGGAATTATCCCGTACGGAGACAGGAAGGTTCCCTACCTGTGTCAACAGGACCTATGCTGACCCGTATGAACAGGAATCGCGACACGGAAACAGGATTCATCCCGGAACGCGAAAACCGGAAGTTCAGTACACACATACCTGTGTCGACAGGAAGCCGCCGTGCGCGTTGCGTTGTTGGATCAGCCACTCGACGATCGGGTTGCCGTAGGAGAGTTCCTCCTCACGCAGCATCGCCAGCAGTGCGTAAGCTGTGCTCTCGATCTCGACTGCCGTGGAGTTGTGCTGGTACCAGTTGACGCTGTTCTCGTTCACCGAGCTCGAGTCGACGGGCCAGTAGCGGATGTTAGCGGCTGAGCGAGCGAAGAGAGAGAAAATCTCGTTGTATATACGTACATGTGGGCAAATGTGTGTGTGTATGTGTGTGTATGTGTGTGTGCGTGTGTGTGCGTGTGTGTGTGGTGGGGGGAGGTGTGTGTATGTGTGTGTATGTGTGTGTGTGTGTGTGTGTGTGTGTGTGTGTGTGTGTGTGTGCGTGTGTGTGGGGGGAGGGTGTGTGTATGTGTGTGTATGTGTGTGTGTGTGTGTGTGTGTGAGAGAGAGATAGAGGGAGCGAGTGAAAGAAAA